CTAAACTACCATTCACCAAACTTTTCTTAAAAATTCCTCGTTCAACGTTATCATCTTAAACACTCGACTTCGCGATTTTTCTTCCAATATATAGGTATAGTCATTTTCTTAATATCCCCTATTATTCTATTTTCTAAAACTTCTACTTCTTTTCTATTCACCGGTTATTTGGCCGTGATGGGTTCAGTGTTAATTCGTCAACTGTGGCCATTTCTGCCAACGTTTCTCATTCCTTATATTTGCCAATCAAAAGTATCCCGACACACATTGGACCAGGTTCACTCCAAACTTCTAATAGCTACACAGTCGGTATCCAAACGTAGCAGTACGATTGTCCCTGGCCCAAGTTAGAGAGGTCTCGAGACAGCCTAGATTTATACTAGACGTATCGACAATCTAATTAATCATCGAGAACCAGCCTCCTCTCATCAATCTAAGCTCATCCCTTCGATATCTGACAGATGTGACATCGGGTAGCGCGAACAATAAAATCCGTGACACGAAGACAGTGATTCCGATCAGTCTGTTCGAATTCTCGATAAAAGGACAGTACAGAAGCTGAATCTGTGATCAAAGATCAGATTAAAAAGGAAGATCAGAGAAGCTCTTCTCAATCTCGATCTCCAACACTGGAAACTCGCGATTGGTCACTAGCTTTATCTCGCGTCGTCTTACCCTTCCATCTGCGCGCAGCATCGGCGACAAACATTCCTCCTAAACCATCAACGATCTATTCCAGCTACCCCTGGCGAGAGCACCTCTGGCCACTGCTCACGCGGCCATTAACGGAGCACAGAGTGCGCTCGAACATCGAGCATTCACGTGTCCGCTACAAATATATCTGGACGCGCTCACGCCTCTGTTCCCCATCCGTGAACCATGAACGTTCACCCCGTGTCCCTGAACGTCGGCGTGGACCTCTGACGCTTGATCGTGAACACGGCCGCGGCGAACATAAAGGCACCCGCCGCGAGCATGAATATGAATGTATGTACACAGATCAAAATGAATGGATCCGGACGCGGGCGCATGAACGGAAGGCTGGACGCGAAACTGGATACGCTGCGATGCCCGTAGATCGGACACACACACGCACACATACATACATACGTGTAGACGGGTGTATGAACACAGAGCCGGATAGACAGACGGTGAGAGAGCGGTGGCGAGTTGAAAACTCGGCTGCAGCTTGAAACGAGAGCAGCCCCGTTGAAAACCCTGCCGGTAACCGGTTCAGATTCAATCTACATAATGGAGAAAGCTCGAGACAATGTTTGCACAGCCCTCTCCGACCGTGCTGCCTCCCAATCTTTCCGTCTCCAGCCGCCACCGTGGAAGCAAAGAGCTTGTTAATGGGTTCATTTGGATTCGATCATCGCCTTACCCCTCCGCCCCCCGCCCATTTTACACTCCTTCCCATCTTTCCTCGTTTACTCGTCTTCCAGTCTCTCGCAGATCCACTGATTCCTAACTTTCCATTTTTCCTTTTCATCCCCCGGTTTCTTCGTGTCACTCGAGTTCGCTTGGCAGGGGAAACTGGGGGTGAAAGACGAGCAGGGTGGAATTTGTTGGTCGACGATGCTCGGAATGTCGAATTAGAGGATCGTAGGTGTATCGAGGAAATAGGGGATGAATTTTTGAATAGCTCTGAATCGCTGCGTCAGTCGGCGTGCAGACTTCTGTGGAATCTGCGTTGTGTGTGTATCTATTCGATAGGTGTGCACGTATCGAGTTAGTAGGGAATACACGTGTGTTTAGTTAGAGACGATACTTTTGATAGGAAAAGTTTCTCGGATAGAGAAAATGAACATGCATTTATTATCGACTATCGCAGATTTTCCATCGAATTTTGCGTACCACGAATTTCCATTAACCCTGATCTATTTCATACTTAGACTACTGCGAGTCACTGTGTTCCAATAAATAAAGGAACTTCATTTAAAGAATATCGAAGATTCCAAGATACCGTTATAAAATTTAAATATCCCAAATGTGGAAAAATAAATAACAGAAAATATCTGGAAAACTAAATCTAATTCTAATAATTCTAATAATCAATACTAATCAGTCGATACCTATTCGCGAGATGCAGGGGGGCCCGTTATTTCTCGAATAAAATCGCAAGAAGAAATTGTAAGATCTGTATACTTGGCGAAACTCGAGATACAAGCCTAAAGGAATAAAGGGAAAAGAGAAAGAGAAAATTCGTCATCCCCAACGTGCATTTGCCGATGGAAATTCAGGTCCCTCGTTTCGCGATGCAGCTACAGGCGATAATCGCGAGAGAGGAGGGCGGAAAAGCGAGAAGAAATCAGGGATGGAATCTCCAGGAGAGATCTGCTCGATTTCATGCTTTTCCTTCTCTTTCGCTTCTCTCCGTGAGCCGAGAATCCGGGCAGAGGGGCTCTTAATAAGGTCAAGGAAGAGGCTGGCTGTTGCAGTCGTCGGAATAGAAAGATCAGCGATTCTCCCGCCTTCTTCCTTCCTCCTCTCTGATTCAGCCCGACGCCTCTTTCCTCGCTGATTAAAAATGTCTTAACGAACGGCGTGCCGTTTATAGGGAAACGCTGAAAGAGACTCGTCCCAAGTTTTTCCTCGCGCGATCCCGATAGAGCCGGGATTGAACGTGGAAACGTGTTCACTGTCCCCGATGCTACGACGATATCGTTGAATTCGCCTGGCTTTGGATAGCAGAAGCATATTTACTACCTTCAATATAAATCTTCGAATTTTATTTTTACACCGGATATTTTCCTTTGGAAAATTAGCACCAAAATAGCGAGCTTTGATAGCTATTATAAATAGACATTAATCGCGTGTAATTTCTTGTCTGACTTATTTCTATTCTATTCACTATAAGGGGGATGAAAAGTCAGGCCAAGTTGTGACGTGAATAAATTTTTGAATATTTATGATTTTTCCTTTACCAGATTAAATTTTTCATTTGTCAAGGTATCTGGGTGTACGAGGTGTAATAGAGTTGCTGCTGGGTCGAGTCAAAAAATTATTGGGGTGCAACGAGTCAACTGACTACGACTTTAACGTGAAAAATTACAACTTATATTCCATTAGAAAAATTATATTTCAATGAAAACAAGAAGAGAAAGGAATAAATAAATCGAAGCAGAATCGCAGGGAAGATTTCCAGGTGCACGAGGTATGTTAAATGCGCTACTGGACCGAGTCAAAAAATTATTGGGGTGTAAAGAGTCAACTGACTACGACTTTAACGTGAAAAATTACAACTTATATTCCATTAGAAAAATTATATTTCAATGAAAACAAGAAGAGAAAGGAATAAATAAATCGAAGCAGAATCACAGGGAAGATTTCCAGGTGTACGAGGTATGTTAAGTTCGCTACTGGACCGAGTCAAAAAATTATTGGGGTGTAAAGAGTCAACTGACTACGACTTTAACGTGAAAAATTACAACTTATATTCCATTAGAAAAATTATATTTCAATGAAAACAAGAAGAGACAGGAATAAATAAATCGAACCAGAATCGCAGGGAAGATTTCCAGGTGCACGAGGTATGTTAAATTCGCTACTGGACCGAGTCAAAAAATTACTGAGCTGCAAAGAGTCAACTCTGACTACGTAGGTCATCGATTTCAACGTGAAAAATTACGATTTATATTCCAAAAATTATATTCCAAAGAAAAGAAGAAGAGAAGGGAATAAATAAATGAAAGCAGAATCGCAGAGAGCTAAGTATCACTGAGCTGGAGTGTCGATCGATTTTGAGACTGAAATGCATCTTTTCCAATACCTCGAGTAACGTGGTGAACACGAACACTGGATCCTCAATCTGTAGAGATATTAACAGAAACAATTCTATTTTCCGACGAAGGAATATTTCTCTTTTCTTTCCCTTTTTGGTCCGTGATTATCGTCTCATGCGTGGGGAAGAAAAGGGCATGGTGCAACGGTAACCGGTGGAGATTTTCGCGAAATCACCGGTTGATTGCGTTTCGGTCGGCGGGATTTTCATGAAATCACCAACTGATTACACGAAGCTCTCCGTGCGAGTTTCTGGGATTGCGAATTCATATGGTAATGTCGCTGAACCTTGCACGCCGCCGTAGCCTTTGGTAAACTTCATGAAATTCTTCTTGAAAATTCAATTCTACACCCGCCCCCGCAGGGATGAAACGCGGTTCGTGGAAGAGGTAAGCAAAGCCGGATTCCGTATAATTTTCATCTCGAGACGGTCTCGAGGAGAATTGATGAAGCGAGCGGAACAAACGCGAGGCTAGAATTAACGACTCGTTGCACCGAATGACTTTATCTCGATGTCCTTTTTCTCTCTCTCTTTCGCGCTGCCTCTGTACGCGTGCTGGCAAGAAATATCGTTCGAGCAATTATTCCTTGGAAATGATCTCGGTGACTATTATATTGTCTGCGTGTCGCTCGTAATTATAGGAAAATTCTTCACTGCAAAGCCGGCAATATTTATATCCACCGTAAAATTAAATTTGCATAAATTGTCAACATACTTCGTTCCAAATTGCCCGATATTTCTATGTATTCCAAAATTCGTGTAAATTCAAAAATAGAATTTAATTTATTATTTTTGGAATATATTACTCTTTGAAAGTTAGTCATTTCCAAATTGGCCGATATTTCTATATATTGCAAAATTCGCGTAAATTCCAGAACGGAATTTAATTTACTTTCATGAATGTATCACTCTTCGAAGTTTTGAAATTTCACTTTCAAATCTGATCAATTATTATTCGAAACTATTCCTAGCAATGGGAAATAGAAATTATCCTGATCGAATAATTAAATTTGATATTAAATAAATACTGAGAATACCAAAGATAGGGGAGATATTTGTATAAATTACCGTCGAATTTGTATAATAAAATAATTTATATCAACGTTTCCATTGAACGGTAATAAAATATTTCCTCGGCCCCTCGAATATTCTCGCAACTGGATTGAACGGTGCGAAAGGGATCTGTTGAAAAGATTCGAATGCGTAACCGACTTACCTTCTTGAAGTAACCGCCATGGAGTCTCATGTGGCCATTGAGTGCCGGTATATTTTTGAATTTCCGATGGCACAAATTGCACTCGACCGGTTTTGGCTCGGTCTGCGACTTGTTGGACGCCGTCACGGTGCCAGGGGACGCCGAATTACCCGGCGACGGGCTGCTTTTCCCCACGTTCCCGCCTCCTGGCGAGTTAGCCTGCGGCTGTTGCTGCTGCTGCTGCGGTTGCTGTTGTTGCTGTTGCTGGGCTTGTTGCTGGGCTTGCTGCTGTTGTTGCTGCAACAGCAGATAAACAATTCGATTAAATTCCAATAATGTCACTGTACAATTTGTACCCGATTTTCATTTATCGTTAAAATATTTCGTAAAAATATTCAATAAAAATATCATCATTTTGCGAGCAATATCAGGATATCGCGATTTTCCCTCGGGTTCCTCTAACCTCGTTCAAGAGGTAAAAATTGAACGGATTATTATTTATTTCCCCCCAAGAGTCATTGCGTAAAGGTATATAGCCCTCGTGATCTCAGCTATGCTAATCGAAGTGGCGGATACGATACTTCAGACGTAAAGGGACCTTAGGTACGATATTTTAATTGCGCAACACAAAGCGGTTCTACGCTTAACAGGGCTTAAAAGGAAGAACCAAGCATTCTTTTCACACCTGTGCGTCGACAATTAATGGAAACATCTTACGGCTCGAGGACCCTTGCCTTCCTCGCTTTGAAGCATCGAGCGCTTTCGAAGATGCGATTACCATGAAATTAAATATTCAATTCCAATCTTCTCCATCGATTGTCGTCACTCTAACAACCACGATCGTACACTTTTCTTTACCTTTTTATTATTTTAACCGAGTCTTATGTACCGCAAGGAAGATCCGAGGCAAACAGCCTTAATCGTGGTTCGAATTTACGAAATTGATATTTTACATGGAAAAATATTTCTTGCTAAATATAGGTAATACATTCGAATTTTAGAAATAACAAGTACGATACAAGATAATTTTTGGTATTAACCATTTGCACTCGAGAGGTGACCGTCAGTCACCATTAGATAAAATTTCGAAGATCGATATTAATTAATATGTCAAATTTAAGATAATATAACTGCGTGCGAGCTATCGAAATCAAATAATTCTACGTGATAATTATTATCCGATTTCTTATTTATTACTGAAAGCAATATCGCCAGCTTTATAGCAGAAAATCTCTTTCAACTCCTACTCATCTTTAGCCAAAAGATCGTCGAGTGCAAAGGGTTAATTTGTGAAATTGGAAGCCAATTTAAATTTCCATATAAATTTCCATATAAGATATCAGAAATTTTTTAATAATTTTTTAAATATCTCTCACTCCGAGTATTAGACATTCGGATGACACCAAGATGAATTACTTCTCGCAGGAAAAAGGTAAGAAGCAACTAGAACAAAGCCTGCCACGTACTTAAAATTCAACATCCACCTCACAGACAACCATTAATATCTTTGAGTTTCGCTTGCAAACACAATCATACTCATTCGTCATCGTTGCAGCAGGGAAACTGAAATTCTTCGAGTCGTGACAGGCTTGCAGCGAAGAAGTTAGATGTTCGAGTCTCGAGCGACGTGAATTTATCGCGAGATGTAATAAAAATTCTAATAAAAGCGTGCGTTCGTTTCTCCGTGTTTTCTCTTCCTCGCGAGCCCTTCGTCTTCCCGTTCCGGGAAGATAAAAAGGAAGAGAAGCGAGTAAATAATACGTAGGAACGCGGAATTCCTCCTGGCCTGCAGTTAAGTTCTCCCAAGAGTCGACCTGTTCTCCTCGCCTACTTCAACTGTCGGGCTAACTTTGTAATTTCGCCAACGTTAAGGGCGAAACGGAGATGCAGGAAGAATGGCAAAGTATAGATCGGGAACGATGCAACTTGTTACACGGTATAACCTTCTGTAATTTTCGTTTTACTGGGAAAGGTGAGAGAGAGCTTTGTCTTATCGCAGTCGCGAAAGTACAGGGCAGAAATGGTCCGAGCTTTCACCGCCATTTTATTTCTCCGACGAGGTTGAATCGTGGAAATATCGAATAATGCTAGTGGATGATAAATAATATCGATATTTAAAACGATTTTTTGACAGACGTTCGCAGGAAACATTTTCTTCCTGAGCGGAAGAGTGTTTAAGTGGA